CCACCAAGGCCCAGCAGGATGCTTAGGACAGAGTCCCATCACACTGATGTCCTGGTCACATCTCCACTGGCTACAGGACTCTGAGGACCCCTAGACTCAGAATGATAGGGGGTCTAGTGTGTGTCTATCAGTGGGTCTGCAGCTGCCTTTATCAGAGTCTCCCAGGAGTGGTGCTTGTAAGATGCATATTCCCAGGCACCTCCAGATTCACATAATCATAACCTCTGGAAAAGAGGGGCCCACAAATCTGCATTTCATTTTTTTGGTGATGCTGGGGAGTGCATCCAGGGCCTTGTGCATATAAGGAAGGCACTCTACCAACTGAGCTACATCCCCAGCCCCAAATCTGCATTTTAAAAAATATTTATTTAGTTGTAGATGAATGCACACTATCTTTATATATTTTTATGTGGTGCTGAGGATCGAACCCAGTGCCTCACACATGCGAGGCAAGCGCTTTACCACTGAACCACAGCCCCAGTCCCCCAAATCTGCATTTTCAACAAGAATCCTTTCCTATCCTATCCAGGCAATAAGGGTAAGAGCCCTGTGTCCTCACAGCATTACACACAACAGTCCAAGTGGGCACAACCCAAATGCCCAGAGACCCATGGATCCATCCATGCCATGGAATAGTGTCTAGTCAGGAAAGGATTGAAGTTCTGAAGTCAGCTGTCATGCGGGTGAACCTCAAACCCGTTACACGAAGGGGAAGAAGCCGGACATCAGGGAGCACCTACGGTATGACCCATTTCATTAAATGTCCAGAATGAACAGTTCAGAGACAAAGGGTGTGGGAGGGGCTGGGGACCTTGTGGGGATGGCCGAGGGGGTAAGGCAAAGAGTCCTGTACCTTCCCTGGTCGTTTGCCACCGTGCTCAGCTCTTGGGGACAACAGGGCCAAGAAGCCTGAGATGGCGTGTAGCTCTGCTGTCCCCCAGGCAGGCAAGGGAGCCCAAGGCAGCTGCCCAACAGGAGTCACTGTCTCTGGCTCTTAGCATCTGTCACCTAATGCTTTCTTCTCCCTTCACAACAGCCCACATTGTGAGGCCACACGCCCCCCACGCCATCACCCTTTACCCCTGGGGTGCGCGGAGCAGGTTCTTGTCCTTCCCTCTTCTGAGGAGGCCACAGAGGCCCAGGGAGGTCTTGGCTTGCCCATGGGCACCCAGCCAGACGTGGCAGGGCTGGGTCCCCTGGAGCCCAAGTGCAGTGCTGCGGGTCTCTGTTCTGTCAGGAGCCGGGCTCTCTTCCACCGCGCTCTCCTTTCTGCACCCACATGGCCACACCCTCCAACCCCTCTGCTCCTCCTTCCCCTCCCCCTTGGTCCTGCCCTCCCACCTTGGTCCTGTTGCTGGACCCCCTGCAGGGTCCCTCCTGGGCTCCACAGGACCCCAGGAACCAAGGGTGGCAGCCAGGCTGCAAGCAGATAAATGCTAATTATAGGATTATACAACTGTCTGTTGACTTAAGTCCTGCAGAGGAACAGCCCGGGACTCAGGGGGGAGGGTCGGCAGGCTGTGGGGGGCCGTGGGAGGGAGAGGTGGCTTCTCCTCCCGTCTGGGCCCTTCCTCCCTCCCCGGGTCCTCCCTCGGGGCCTGGCTTCAGGGTCCACACCCACCCCAGACACTACCGAGGCACAGAGCTCCTAGCACACTCTCCCAGGGACATGTCCATAAGGAGGTGGCCACTGGGGGGCCACGTGGAGCACTTCGACACAGAGAGGGGGAGGCAGGAGGATTCTAACTCAGGGGCCTGAAACCTTCCCATAATTTGGCCCCTGAGAGGGATGAACATCTATTACCCCTGCCATGCAGCAGGCGAATATATGAGCCCCTAACACAGGGTCCTCCAAGGACCCTAAAGCGAAGCCTTTTGATTATTGTCTTGAGCTGAACTGGAACCCTGGGACCCCAGGCCCCAAAGGCACCCACTCTGGCCCTTTTACAAATCCAAATCCTAACTCCAGCTTCACCAGAATCCAGGAACACCAACCTCTTGTCCCCAAGGACACTCTGCAAGACTGGATATCATCTCCTGAGTTCCAGGTGTCCCCAGGAGAACGGTGACGTCTGTCCCTAAGGAGAGTTGTTCTGGGTCACCATGAAGGAGGCCGGAGCCAGTGGGGGACACCACGGTACCTCTCCCCCTCAGGACTCACCGGGCTGGGCTGCCACACTGCCCCTCCCTGCTGACCACCCAGGGGCTGAGCCCTGGGTGGGGACCTCTAAGCTATGCCACTCAGCGCTCCCCCACCCATGGGCCCCAGATGACACCAGCAGAGGAGAGGAATCCACCGGTCCCCGTGGCAGGCAGGAAGCAGGAAGCAAGAGGCAGGGCCCAGAGCCCAAGGCCAGAGGGGCTGGGCCACACCAGCCATGACAGCCACCACCCAGGGAGCAACGCAAAGCAGGGGACAGCCCCACCCAACACCTTCTTTACAGGAGGCAGGGCACCATGCGGGCCACTTGGGCCCAGGGACACCTTGGCTGGACAGAGACACCACTGCCAGGCGGTCCTGGGCAAGCTCCCAGGCTCACCCCGGTGACCACTGGGCCCCAGGCCCTAGAGGAGGGAGGAGAGAGTCACCTGGCTGACTGGCCTCATCTGGGAGGCTGAACAAGACTGGACCCCCAAGCCTCCCTCTGGGCCAGAGCCAGGAAAATCTCAGGGCCACTGGAGAGAGGCCCGTGGAGGGGCTGGTCAGAGCAGGGGGCAACGGAAGCCTGTGTCCGTGCGGCTCTTGGGCCCATAATATGTCCTACGTCCGTGCTACCAGCGCCTCATTTGTCAGGGGGACGGCCTGCTTTAGGAGGTCCCCAGCTTAGCCCTTGCTGTGGCCGTTCCCAAACTGCCGGCTTCAGGGCTGGGCCAGGCCCCCAGGACAAGGCTGTCTTTGACAGAAGGAGCTCAGGACGGAGCTCCCTCACCTCTCCACCCACAGAGGGGCAGCTCTGGTGGACTGCCCGGCTGGTGGCCTTCTGCCGTGTGGAGGAGCCGTTCACAGGGTTGGGCTGGATCTGCAGGCAGCCCCTCCCCGGCCCCGGAGACAGAATGGAGCCAGTGTTCCCCGAGTGTGGCCGCACAATGGGCCGAGCCCTCCACGGGAGTGTTCCCATCAGTTAGTATTTATCAGCCCCCGGGCCAGCTGGGAGCCAGGGGCAGCCAAGAGAGACACCATTGTCCCCAGACAAGGACCTGATATCCTTGGGGGAAAACTGGACCAACAGGGAGTGGCCTTGGCTGCGGGGTTTCTGCTCTGAGCTCCCTGGCTCTTCAGGGATGCCCCTTCATGAGCTGGTCCAGCAGCCCTGGGGACCTCGGCCCAGCCGGTGAGGGTGACCAGCTCCTGTGACTCGCTCCCGCTGGGCCGGGCCCTAGATAGCCCTGCACATGGGCCCCTCAGAGGCCCTCTAAAGCAGTCATTACGACCGTTGTCCCACGCACAGAGGCGGCACCGAGGGCCACGCAGCCGGCGGAGGCGGGACCTACACGGCCCTTCTGTGCACTCGCCCTGTGCAGTGGCCTCGACCCCTGTCCCCTTGCTTTCCCAGAGGCCTTGGAGAAGCCAGGGAAGTGACCCGGGCGGCTGGTCAATGGCTCTGCTGGGCCCCTGCTGCACTACTGCAGCCAAAGGAGGCAGCTCAGTGGGCACCTGCCTGGGAGCCCAGGGGCGGGCAGGCCTTGGAGGCTGGGCCCACCCTGGTCTGTTGATTCTCGCTCTTGCATCTGGCCTGAGGGACCGAGCCTGGGTGCAGGGACCGGGGCCCAGGGTGCCTTGCTCTGCACTGCAGGGTGCCCTTCTGACTTCCCTGGGCCAGCCCCCCACACCACCCCGACAAGACAGCAGGAGAAGCCAGCAGCACAGCCCCGGAGCAGGGCAAGAGGCCACTGGAACTCCCATACCGCTGTACCACCGTGACGCTCTCCCCGGGCACCAAACCTGCTCCCACCATTACCCTGAACACCCCAGGACCCAAGTCTTCACCTGCCCCCTCAGACAAACATCCAGGCTGCGTCCACAGAGTGTTTGGTCCAGCCCGCCTATGTCTCCAGCCCCATCTCACACCTCTTGCCCCTCTCTCCAGCTTGAGCCAGCCTTTTCTGTTATCCCACTGCATCATCATCCCTCTCAACACAGGCCCTTTGCACATACAAGTCCCTCTGGTCAAAACTCCCCCCCTTGTGCACACTCCTATTTATCTCCTTTCCTACTTGTTTGAGCTCAAGCACGTCTCTTAAGGGAGTCCTCCCTCACCTCCAGGACTAGCCCAAGCTCCCCCTATTCTCTGGCACTATGCAATTTTTTTTAAACATTTATTTTTTAGTTGTAGTTGAATACAAGATCTTTATTTTATTTATTTATCTTTATGTGGTGCTGAGGAACGAACCCAGGGCCTCGCATGTGCGAGGTGAGGGCTCTACCTCTGAGCCACGACTCCAGCCCACTATGCAATTTTCACAGCCTGCATTAGCTTCAAACTCCTGTTTGTTTCCGTTCATTAACGCCTCATCCCCTGCGCCGGACTGTAGGTCGTGGGGAGGACGGGATCTTTTCTATTGACTTAAGTTTCCCAGCTCCTAGCATGGTCCCCAGCATGTTGTGGGTACTGGACAAGGACTGCTGTGTCCTGTGTTCTGCTCTTGTCATCATGAGGGACTTTACAGCCAAGGACTTTACAAAACAGGAACACCCTGGAGGTGAGCTCCAGCTCTGTAAATGTGTGCAGATGTGTTAACATGGAGTCGAGCCACGGCACCTGAGAGATGAGTGTCCAGGGCCTGGGCTACACAAGCGCTCAGCTTTCCAGGATCAGTCCGGAAAGACTTCCAAAGGGGAGGCCCTGGCTTCCTTGATGACGTTGTCAACGGTATAGTCCAGAGTTCAGGGAGTAGAGGAGGAAGACCCTGGGAGCCAGAGGGCCCTTCCTGCCCCCCCCAGGTGCCCTGGGCCGTCTGAGCAGCCTCTGCCTGCAGCTCCTGGCTGCAGTCCCACATACCTGCTCGTCCACTTTATGGGCGATGAGGGTGGCTCCTTCCTCCAGCTCTGCCACGCTGATGGGCCGGACCCTGAGCGCCACCTGGGAGAGAAGAACAGACCTCAGAGTGAGAAGGAGAGGGCCATGCAGGCTGTGGAGAGGAGGAGGAGAGGGCCTTGGACTTCGTCCTGCAAGCAGAGCCATGGCCTCTCCAGAGTCCAGCTACCCAGGCTCCTTTGTTCTAAGGAAAACTCAGTGAGTCAAGGTCACTGCCTAGGTCAGAGGGCAACAGGTCCAGAGCATGTCAGGCTGTGTGCGAGTCTACCCGTCTCTCCAGGGGCCCACGCCTTGGGGACAACCCCAGGGGAGGGAAAAGTCTGCTCAGGCTGCATCAGTCACTCGCCCAAATTAAACATCCATGGCTCCCTGGGCACCGGCGGCACCGTGTGTCTGTGGATGACGCACTACGCCCGCAGGTGCAGGCATGGGGGTGTGTGAGATGGGGCCTGGCAGTCGGGATGCAGCTGGGCAGGAGGCCCCTGGCAACTCTCATACCCTTGTCTCTCTTCCCCAGGTCATCCCAGCCACCTGTGATCACATTCCTGCCCCAGAAGAATGTCACTGAGGAATGAATCTCCTCAGAGAACTCAGTGGGGAAAGGGGGAGGGTTTCTTTTGCTAATCAAAGGGACACACCTGCCGGCTGTGGGGGTGAAACTAAGGGCCCCACTCCACCTTCCCAGGCCCCTGCCCTGCCCTTCTGGCTGAACTCTACGGAGGGGGGGACCCTGTCCTCTGGAGAGGCTGTTCCAGACCCTGGGGCTTCTTGGAGTTGGGGCATTTTCAGGAGGCAGGGTCCCTTACGGAGGGTGCAGGGGTGGTAACTTTATCCTCCAGCCACATCATCGCACCTGCTGGTGTTGAAGCCCATGCCCCGGCCTCAGAAGGTGGTAGCTGGAAAGAGGGCTGGAGAGAAAGACCCTACCCAAGACTGGTGGAGGCCTTGGAGCCACCCCGTCCCCTCTTCCTCATTCCATCCCAGGACTGCTGATAACCAAGAATATCTACCTTCAGTCCCTGCACGCCACCACCCTTACTCCCACTTCCTCATCTGGCCCAAACCCCATGCTGGCCACTTCTAGAACTTCTCCCTGGATTCAGAGTCCCGACTTGGACGGTGTCTGCATTGCAGTCCATGGGACAGCTATTACCCAGCCCGGGAGTCTCTCCTAGCACCAGGTGGCTGAGGGGGGTCTTGCCTTCCTATTGTCGTCCTCAGCTATCTTTACTCCAACCCCCTGCTGGGGCATCCCCACTGGCTCACGAGGAAACCCCCACTTTCCTTCTCAGGACAGAAGGTCCATCCTGTTCGGGATCAGAGCGCACTTTTGCCCCCGAGGCTGCTCTGGTTTGGGGGATGGCGATGCTTGGGGGCTGTGCGCTGGAGCTGGATTAACTTTCCATCCTCAGGTAGACGGCCACCATACCTTCTGGACACCTGTTCTCTGGGACTTAGGCGAAGTTGCTCTGGACAGTCCCAGGCCCTGTCCCTTGCATGTCCTCTTAGTGGACACTGTCTGTAAGACGCGGACTGAGGAGGTTTGGTTCTGGGGTCGTGGAGGGGGGCGAGGAGGAGCGTGCAGAGTCTCACCATGAGTTGCTGGTCCTTGCAGTCCCCGCTGTCCTTCATGCTTGCGGAGGAGGGGGGGCTCAGGCCGCGACACCGGGCA